TGCAGATGCATGCGTTGTTTCTGTTGCTGCGCTTTATTTGTTTGTTCGTTTATTTGTTTGTGTTTAGGTATCTGCATTTATTTTTTTTTTGTGTTCTTTGTTTTTCTTTTCTTTATGATGGCTCTACTGCTGCATGCATATACTTATTTATATATATATATATTTTTTTTTTTTTTTTTAGGGTGTTGATGTGGGGCTGGAGGAACTCCGTTCTATGTTCGATGCTGTAGTCCTCGCTATCGGGGCTGCAGGTAACCCCCCAACAAGCTGCAGCTGCATGCATGCATGCATGCATGCATCCACACGCATGCATGCGTGCATGCATGCATGCATGCATGCATCCACATGCACGCATGCATGCATGCATACAACCACATGCACACATGCATGCATGCATGCATGCATGCAGTGTTCTATGTGGTATGAATGCTGTTGTATAAATATTTTCTGGTGTACATGGAGTTGAGTACTATCGTCCCGTGTATGTTTATTCTTAAATAAAACAAATGTTCGTAAATATTAACTAAAACAAAACAGAATATATGTTTGTGTTTATGTTTATGTTTTGTGTATACAGAGGGCATCGCTCTCTCTATCCCCGGCTCTTCTCTTTCAGGTGTATGTACAGCTCGTGATCTGCTGCTCTGGCTCAACGGCCATCCCCACCTGCAGGGCTTCGAGCGCCGCCTGGGGACAGACAGCAGCAGAACTGCTGTTGTTATAGGGTCAGATTCACTCCTGCTGCTGCTCTTGCTGCTGCTGCTGCTGCTGCTGCTGCTGCTGCTGCTGCGGTTGATCGGGATTATTATGATGGTGCTGTTGCTGCTGGTGTTGCTGTTGATGGTGCTGATGCTGCTGCTGCAGATGATGATGATGTTGCAGGTGTTGCTGCAGTTGCTGTTGCAGTTGCTGCTGCAGTTGCTGCTGCTCCTGTTGCTGCTGCAGTAGCTGCTGCTGCTGTTGCTGATGATGGTGCCGCTGAACTCTTTCTTGCTGTCTCTTGTCTCCTCCTCTTTGTCTCCTTCTGTCTGTCTTTTTTTGTCTCCTTGTTGTCTCCTCTCTCTATCTGCTGCTGTCCCCTTCTGTCTGTTGCTGTCTCCTTTCCGTTTGCTGCTGTCTCCTTCTGTATGCTGCTGTCTCCTTCTGTCTGCTGCAGCAGCTTTTGTTTTTTTGTTTGTTGCTGCTGCTGCTGCTGCTGTTTCTGCAGCAACGGCAATGTGGCCCTCGATGTCGCTCGCCTGCTGCTCAAGGCTGCGCAGCAAATGCCAAACACAGCAGCAGCAGCAGCACCAGAAGCAGCAGCAGCAGCAGCAGCAGCAGCAACAGCAGCAGAAGCAAGACCAGCAGCAGCGCCAGAAGCACCAGCAGCAGCACCGGCAGCAGCCCCAGAATCAGCAGCATCAGCAGCAGCAGCAGCAGCAGGAGAAGGATACAAGGATGATATATCTTTGTCTTCATCTCAGTCTCCTGTTCCTCTATCTGTTACTGATATAGATGGGGCTGCATGCGCATGCATAAACAAAAAAAAGTTTAATTATGTTCGAGTCGTAGGGAGGAGAGGACCCCTGCAGGCTTCCTTCACCAACAAAGAACTCAGAGCAGTACATATTTATATATAAATATATATATATATATATATATA